TGATTGTGAACAATAACAGGGCGAAATTCGACCAATGAGAAGTTGAAGGAAGTTTGAATGAAAGAAAATATGAATATATTAATATGCAAGGTGCCAGGTGCAACCACCTGAAACGTTCAACTCTCATCCATGCTCCCAAGTATCTGAAGTTTTCCAAAATTCTTCCCTAGCAATCTCACTGAACGATAGTTTCACCTCTATAAGAAGGAAAAATTATGGTCAACCAGAAGACCTTTGATGTTGAAATACAAATCTTGGCGCCAAAAAGTTTACTACTAAAAGGCGCGAAATTTAATTTTTGCAGTTATCAAATTTATACTCGGTGTCGACTGTGTGATTGAGATTCGGCTCTTGGGACCAAATGACATCTGATTTTGATCCTGTTTTGATTCTTGGCGTGTTTCTAACAACGAAGTTGGAGTAATTTGGTGGGTGGCCCGTTGCTGATCAGTGATGGAACTTGTTCCCTGCTGGCCTCTGGTCAGGTTACTTCCTGTTATGGGCGCCCCTGCTGCCTTTAATCATTTTAGGCCCGTTTCAAACATTGTGCTACTATTCGACTTTAGCACGGCAGTAGCGCAACGTTTGAAACCAAGTCGTGCTACTGCACGGCAAACCTTGCCGTGCGACACGGCAGTAGACTTACTTTCAAACGTCGACATCAACGTCGTGCACTGCAGTGCCGAACTCAATTCATAAATTAATGCATTTAAGACTTTTCTTAACCGTTTCTTAATTTTCGTGTTTTGTTTTCGGCAACAGCCGTTGTATTCGACTGAATTAAATTCGACGTCTGAAACTTTGCGTTTTGATCATTTGTTTGTTTGTTTGTTTTTGGAACCTTGCGGTATGTCCTCTTCCCGGGCGATACTTGCGTTATTTTTTGCTGGGTATGTACCGCTGCCCTCTCAGAGGCCCTACCCCATTATAGTCTATTCTGTGACCAATTAGAGACCCCATTTTGGTCACTTTTGGGCAAATGTGATTTTCACGATCCCAACTTAGTCACTTTCTATTTCTGTATCTACCTTATCAATCCTTTAAATAGGTCATCCTAAAATGAATTGACCAATTTTTTAAATCGAATGAAGAACACTTTACTTTTCACCGCCAGTACAAACATTCTGGTACGTTTGCTAACGGTAAATATGAAGAACTTTCTTACCCCAAACATCTTAAAATGTGCGACCCCATTTTAGTAACTCTAGCGAAAATGCGACCCCATTATAGTCAATCCAGTCGTGAAAATGCGACCCCATTCAGCGGCACATCCCCATTAGCCTCTTATAAGGAAGTACCACCCTCCCCCCCCTGGTCCTCTTAGGGATCATCTTACATCTAAATTCAGGATACCTTTAAGAATCATTTTACATGTCATCTTAAGATTTCCTGAATGTAGATGTATTTGAAATGTTAAAATGATTTTATCCATCAAAACACATACTTCAAATTAAAGAGAGTTTTATTACTACAAAAATACGGAAAAACTACTCACATTATTCATGATTATTTCCACTAATAATTCTATTATTACTGAGTAACTCATTTTACGTAGCCATGTTACATTATGAGCCAGATTAATACTATTACTGACATAATTGACTAGATTTCTTAACTTGAATCAACCGCACCATTTGCAACCTTTTGATTAAATAATACAAATAAAGTGTCTGCAACATTCTTGTACAAACAAGAGCCCTTATAAAAGTAAACGGCAAACTACAATGGAAACTTAATATAACAAAGGGCCAAGGGACTGGTAAAATTTGCTCGCTATACCGTCTTTTATATTTTACTGTTACTGGGGAAAAGAAAATCGTTAATTGATATATAGATCTTCATTATATAAAGGTTCCACTGGATTAATTTCTTCATTGTTTGTAGGGTTTCCTACCAAAAGGGAATTCATTCATGTGAGAGCCTTACATGTTTACATTGCTCCCAAACAAGGCTTTTGCAGTGAAGTAATCTAGTGTGACCTATTTAAGCATGATATGGGTACTACTATTTCCCAAGTAGTATTTTCTCTTTCATGAAGCATCTCTGACATGCTACAGGAAAAGAAGTCATGAAGGTTATAAATTAAAAGTGCTAAATAATATTATATTATCAACTGCATCACAAAGTTACCATGGAAACTAAACATGGTACCTCAATGTACTTTAGCGGGAATCAAACAAGACACTAACCCCACCTCTTAAGCAATAACACTTAATTTAAGAAGAAAACCACACTCATGGGACATCATTGGACAACAATGAGAGGAGAGTATAGAAAACATGATGAGTCTTAAGTACAGCGTCGACCCCGCCACCCTCCCTTCCCCTTTTATGCAAATGTTACAACTGATGAGCAACTTAAAACTGCTTGGTAGTGGGAAATTCTTATCATATTAGTTTACTGTTGTTCACAAGGAAATTATTTTAGAATTTTAGAAAAAGCAAACAACTGCATCAACGAGTGAGTGACACATTTGCATATCTCAAGCCAGATTACTAAAAATTAAAACTGTACAAATTTCACATATAAATTATAAAAAAACTTGTTATAACCACTTCACTCTTAACTACAGAGGTAGATCCTGGGGAGGGGCCGGGGGAATCCGGCCCTGAACTATTCCACTCTCAATTTATTAAAGATTTTGACTTTGCCAGTGCACAAAATAACATGCCAGAAATGAGAAATGAAATGAGGAAATAAGAGATAATTGTTTCTAGGATCTTTACAGTTGACACGTTGGTCAGCTGTTGGCCAATTTTTCCTGTCCCTAATAACAGTCCCAGAAGTCTTTGTGAAAGATAACTCGTCCCAGTTTCTAATTAAAGTGGTGAACTTCCATTTAGATGACACCAGTCTCTTGGGCAGTACTTTCATGTGGTACTATTTCATCTTTAACTGACTGTATAATTTCCTTAGCTGAGTACTTTTGATTTATTTCAGTATTTACTTTACAAGACATTAGGAAATGGTCCAGTTTTGAATTTAAAATTACCGCTGAATACAAATGTTAACGACAAACTCACACAGGACTAGCCCACATAAAGTAAAATATTCACCAATTCCAGCAAGTAAGTGTTTAAAATTTAAAAACACACATTAGAGAGAGTAATGAGCAGGCCGTCTTCTCAAAGCAATTTGTGAGTATATTTACTTCAGATGGAGGCTAAGCCTTTAAAAAATGTATCTTTGCTTCTTTTATTCAGCAGTCATAGTGAACTCATAACTGGACTATTAGTGACTTTTCCTTAAATTTAATTTTGGTGTTTCCTGGTAGTGACAGAGTGAGATGACAGTTAAGCAGATTTTATCATTTCTTAATGCTGTCACTAACAAGGTGAAGTGGGAACAGGATCACACCAGCTCTAGTTGAGCATTTATCATTCCTCGCTGAAAATAGCTGCACACACACCAACACAACAAACACAGCAACACATAACACCAATCAAAATATAAGTGGCTGTAGTTATCCAAAATGCAAAGAGGTACAAAGTTTCATTACAGTAATCCGGACTGCTCAAATCATTGTAAATTACATCCTTATAATTACTGTAAATCCAGACATTGCCGCAGATAAACCAGGCAAACAGGAAACAGTCCAGGATGGAAGTAACAGGGTTTTGCTTCTTCTCTTCTTCTTCTTGATCATTATCACTTTTCCTTGCCCTCTGACATAACGAGATGAGGTTACGGAAGACACCAATGGATCCAGCTACTATCAGATAGATGGGTATCTTCTTTTCGATAGGACATTCATTCTTATACTCAGCACCTAAGTTAATACAATGCAAAGAATATTGAGAATCATTTGGAGGGGAAGTTAGTTTCAATGTTCTCCTTGTTTGCCATCGTTTATTTTTTTAACCTGGAATTTGATATTCTTATTCTGCAGTGAACTTACATTGAGGGAAAGAACCACGAAACTACCTAAATGACATGGCTCAAAGGGTTGAAGGAAAAATTTGAAGTATATGTACAATGTACAGGGCTTGAAAAAAAACTTGTCCTTTGGGCAAGCAGCTATCACATTTTGCTTGCCGGCCACCATTTCTTGCTCATCTTAGTTCATGATTTTGTTAATGGTTGACTCTTGCCTGGACCCTTGCCCACTGGGGAAGTGTGCTTTAACCCTTTACACCCTAAGATCAAAATCTGAATTCTCATTTTCTGTCTCTGTTCATTTCCTACAGAAGTAGTGGGGAGAATCAGTTGATAAAATGTCAGGCAATTTCATCTTGAGTGATCATTGTCTGTAATTCTCATGACCACTCTGTTTTACAAAGCAATAGATTGATATTACAAGGAGGAATTTGATGTTGATCACTCTCAGGGCTTTACGGGTTGAAATTACTTTCGTAGCAAGACAATGTTCATGTCCTGGACAACCAGATGAGACTTTTTCGAGCCCTGATGTAGGTAGCTTTAATGTTGAAGTCAGTCGTGGTTTTCCCTTTTTTTTTTTACTAATATTTAAAAGAATCAGAAAAAGCCCAACAGACTAGCTGGCCAAAATCAAGAAGTATGGGATAATTTTTGGTGTCAGCTATTTCAGACAATCCTTGCAGGGCTGATACCTCTATGCAAGGTAAAATGTTCTGGAATTCACAATTATGGCCAACTGAAGGGTTAACATGGTATATATAAGGGCTTTTTAAAACATCAACAAAAAAAGCTGAAACTATTACTACACGTGGGAGTTATTAGAAACAGCTGTCAAGAAGGTTTGACAACTTTTAACCCATGTTGGGTGGTGGATAACTACCAGTATGATATGCGCCTCTGTGTATGGTAAGCTTGCATCTGATATGGAGGATAGCAATCAGAGTGTTTGTGCAGTAGTACGGTGAAGAGTAAGATCGGAGGTTTCAATGAACCATCACAGGCTAGGGACTCCGGTAGCACTCTCCAAACCCAAAATTTACTGGGTGTACCGCCTACCTCCCCCCCCCCCCCCAAACGAAGGATAGCTTACCTATGACAATCATGGCAATGGGTATAGCCATGACTAGCCCTATGGCGATGGTACAACCAACTGCAAAAAAGTAGTGAAAAAATGTATCATAATGTGCCAGAAAACTACCTAAAAGTAGTAACTTACGCATGCTCATTCAAGCAAAAGCACTGAGCAAGCAGTACTCTTTGAAGTGATAGACACAAAATAATAATATATAGACTTAGCCGAGGCTGAAGGCGAAGCTCCCGTTAATGAAAAAAACATTGCAATAAAGAAATCCAATTAGATTTGAGCCTGCGATCTGTTGAAAACTAGAAACTTGTCAGTAGTAAACTTAAAAAAACATGTAACCTTGACGGGTCAACACCTGAGCCCGCGATATGGCTATGTGATGCTGATCAGCATATACCCTGCTTTGACAGCTGTTAATTGACCACAACATGGATGTGCAATATCAGGACACAGGCTCCCACATTAGCTAGAAAGTTTCTAGTGGTGCAGACGGACGGGCAGGTGGGTGGACATATGGTCAGGCAACTGGATAGGCAAACAAATTTCCTTAGCTACAGGGTTCCGCTTGTGTGGAGCTCTGCTAACAATATCATTAAATATGTTGTAAAAAAGCATGAACATAGGTTAAAAAATTGGAGTTATGAGCCTACTGTCACCCAGCACCAGACAATGCAGGCACATTAGGGACAGACTGCAGGTTTGTGGCCATGAGCGAGAATGCTCTGAAAATTTAGACATGGGCATTCTGCAGAAGGTGAAGTAACAATAATCATTTTCAAACTTACTTGTTCCGGCTAGAATAAGGATCAACTTTTTCAAGAAATCTAACACTGAGCTGGATCCATGCCGAGCATCTTTGATTTCTCCAAACAATGATTGGTATGATGGGGGAGGCCCTGATAGTGAAAATTGAGGAAGGAATAAAACAATATTACTGTCAAACTCAGAAAACATGAACACACAAGATATTTCAGTAATGTTAATTGTGCAGTGGCCAATCACACAGGGGCACCCAACGGCAATTTTTGGAAAATATCTGTTCGGAAGACGATTTGAGATCTAGAATTTTCGGAACATTTGTTGTAAAATGTCTTGCTTGCCTGCCTCTCCTAAGATTTTTGAACATCTACAAAATGGTATAATTACCCATTTTTAACGGATTTTTACCCTAAAAAGACCACCTAGAATTTTCGGGAGCCTTTTCCTGGCTGAAATTTTCAAAAAGGTAAGTTTTGATCCTTATCATTTTCGGATCTTTAGACTTTCAGCTGGGAAATCCGAACAGATGAAAAGTTTTTAGGGGATAAAAATATGCCTATATCTACCGTTTAAATACTAAAATACGTTCAAAAATGCTATGTTAAGTGGTTTTGAACTATATCCTCGTTGGGTGCCCCTGATCACACAAGAGATAAGGACACACAAGGAAACCAGAAAACTATACAACCAAATTACAGTTAATGCTTGCACTTAAGTTTTTTTTTCACACCTGACATGCTGTTTTCCTGCAATGCAATAACATTCCAGAAAACATTAATATTATTTTATGGTGTTCATGATTTTCTGAATTTCACAGTAACTATCGTCTATGTGATCAACAGCAATCGCCAATGAGGCTGCTAATACTCTGAGTTACATCTTACGCAGATTACAACCTTTTGAACAAGAATGCAAAAAATGTTTTTGTAACCAAGTGTACCCTATTTCCTCGAATAATAGCCGGGGGCGATTATTTCTTTTTCGCACAAAAAGGGGGCAGTTATTGGAGGGAAGGCGATTATTTCAAATATTGGTCACTGGAAGTCATGCCCTAAACATTTTGTTTTATTTTCCCATTAAATACAAAAATAATCACATCAAATAAACTGAACATGTGCTTTTTAAGTATTACAAATTTAGTTGCTTGATAAATTTTCATAGCTTGAATCATCACTGATCAGTTTTGCTAGATCACATGGCACTTCAACTTGACAGGGAGGGGATAAAAGGAAGGGAAGATGGTGAGAGGAGCAGGGGGGGGGATTATTTGAGGGAAGCGAGTATTTTGAAATATTTCTGTCAAAGGGGGGTTATCATTCGAGGGAGGCGATTATTTGAGAGGTGGCTATTATTCAAGGAACTACGGTATCTTAGTTCTACCGTAAGTTCTGTGCGTAAAGGGTCTACCTTCAAGTAAATGACGTCTTGCTCATTAAGTGTGAGCTGACAAAAAAAACTTTGAAAAGGCTGTACTTCATTAATTCATATTTGGCAGTTCTCCAGTAAATTTAATGAAAAACAAGAGAAAATAGGAAGTGGTTGATTAAATAAAAAGAAATGCCTTTCACACTGGGATAGGTACACTGATGTACCCACATTCTGCTGGGGGCCGGAGTCCAAGGGCCTCCCTTAATTGGGAAAACTACCTTTTGAGGGCCCTATAAGGTAAATTGCAGTGGATTGAGAACCCTCTTGAAAGAAATTTCAACCATAAGATTAACACTATTGTAAAACCGCATTTGCTTCACGCAATTTTTGAATTTCCATCATATGTTTGTTTTCATCAAACAAAAGTTGTTGAGTTGAGTTGTTCAGAGCTTCTAGAAAGCCCCGTTTGTATTGAACAAAATATTCAATAAGTGGAGTTAGTACAGTATCATGGAGGGACCCTAACCTGTTGCTTCATCATAGGTGGGGGGAGCAGCTCCCCTTTCTGTGCCATAGGTGGGTGGACCCCCTGAGTAAGGTTCTACTGGTGCTTCCTGAAAAAAAGGAAAACAAACCTCCTCAATGCCATGTCAATTGTTGAAAATGTTTAAATTATTATGCATGAAATTATTGTACTGTATCAACCATTTAGCAATCTAGAGATAATCAAGCAATAGTGACATTAACCTTGAAATTATCTGTAACCTTAGTAACTTTGCTGAGACAGTTAAAAAGTTTGCTCTCACAATACTTGTATTCACAGAAATCAGACACCAAAAAGAGTATCATTTGAAACTTTTAGGGTGTCATTGCTTTACCTTGGCCTTTTATTAATCAAAATTAATTAAAGCAAGAGACTGGAGTTGTGGTATCTGTGTTTCAAACACCAATCTCCAGTTTGCAAAGGTGATACCAAAAACATCTGAATTAACATGATTTCAGTTTTTTAATCCTGTCTCATCTACCCTGACATGAAATTTTGCAATAGTTCCATTTGGCAAATTACTGATTTCTTGTATTTCATGAGAAATTCTTCATGTATTTGGAGTTTAAATATAGTGCAGAAAACAACAGCTAAAACATAGTACTGTCCAACAATGAAGAATGGAATGATTTCTCCATTTTTTTCACTCTGTTAGTTTTCTTATTTCTCTTAATTTTATTTTCCTTGCGATGAGCTCACAGCTGGATATAAAGTTGTTCATGTTTACTATATATATAGCTTGGGTGTCCTGTGGTGCTAATGCTATTTAAATTTTGCATGTTGATCAGAGATATTGTCTTTCTCATAGTAATGGGAGAGTCTTTCAAAGCTGTTGTTAAGACCTTTCATAAACTATGTTGTTATGGCACAAAGAAAAAGATAAAATTGCATATCCCTTGCAGTCATTTGAATTGAAACTCATTAATACGAAGAAAGTGATCTTTTCATTATTTATTGAATTTTCAGTTGGGAGAAAATAAGCTCAAAGGATTGATTAAAGTCCACTCTAGATTTTATACCAAGACATCCTCCCTTGAATCAATAAAATTCAATGAAATTTAGTCATGCATTTAATAACAAAAATAATAAGAAAAAATGTTTTACACAATGTTTTTTGATGTCCCAATTCTTCCCTAGCCTGTTATTATCCCATCTAATAACAAGGAATAAGTAACTAAATTTCTAATTTACAAGAGGACAAATTTCACTAGGGTCCAGTTGCTCTAAAGGGGGATAGAGCTATCCACCAGATGAATCACTATCCAGTGGATAGCACTATCGGTTTTCCTAATATTTATCAACTGGATAGTGATTTATCTGGTGGATATCACTATCCATTTTTGGAACAACCAGGTCCAGGTGATAAAAATATGTTGGAAAGATTTAGAAGAACTTTCTTTAATGTTCCACTATTTGATGTAAATGACCAAAATTTTGAGTGCCAGCATATTTCTCTTTGCTGACGTTCTGCACCGTTTGAGTAAGAAATTTGGTTTTAACAACACAACATTAAAATCTAACCACATGACACTCACACAATGACATCATTAACATATATAAAGTATAGAGAAAAGTAAAAGCAACACTAATTTATGCTTAGGCGCCTAGTGCTTGATTCTTAATTTTCATCGAAGAGTATCAAACACAATGTCAAGATCTGCCTCCAACTGGAGGTAAAGTTTACCTTTAAATTCACTGCTATTGAAAAAATTAAATTTAGCTGTTAGAATCGTTTTGAGTAAAAATTTGAAACTCAGTAAGTTTGTAAGTGCAAACGTAACGTTGCCACCTGCAGCAGTGTTCGGATCTGATCAAACTTGGTAATATTAAGCTCCATGGAATCAAAATATTATTAACAGCAACTTTACTTTTCATTTTTTGGTGCAGCGGACGTGTCTTGATATCTTCAGGGTTACATGACAAACATAACAAAATTCATATCTTCCTAAAAATACGGGTGAACGAATTGTAAGTTCACTAAGATAATGTTATATTAAATTTAATCGTCTCAGAGGAACAGGAATTTCGAAGTTCGAACCGTCATGTGCGACTGACATCGATCATAGAACGTAAAACATTAAGTTTAATAACGCAACAAAATATGGGCCCTTCAAAAGTGACTGCGTATAAAATTCCTAAAATCGAAAGTATTACCTAACGGTTTTTTTTTCTTTAATCCAAAGCAAATATAAGGCGGAAGTGCCCGCTTTATTAGTTCGTAAGTTACTTTCACCTTCGTTTTGTCGACGTTCTTTGCTCAATTTAAGCCTAGTAGTTTATGTCCGGAGACGATAGCAACCTTTAAAAGGCGTTCTCCAAGATATAGAGGATAAAGTGGGGTGATTTGGTAGTAATGTACATAAATT